TTTCCTTCTTAAAGAAACAAGAAGCCCGTCTGCTGTGCATAATGTATTCATAATTACTGGCTGCCATCTTTGCAGTCAGTACCATCAGTTCCTTTCTCCTTTGTGTACAGGGTGTGCACATGAAAAACATTTCAGGGGGATGAACATTTTTCCTTACTCTTGAAATTTTCATATCAACAATGATTTCCAATGAAATGTGGAACTTTTCTGCTCATCTTTTGAAGACAAATAAATAAATGAAGAAAAATAATTTTTTAGCCTAAGAATAAATTTATAACATGCTTCAAAGCACTGAAAAAAACGGAAAAGAGTGTCAGTCTAAATGGGCTTTTTAACGAATAAAAAAATATTTCCTGCTTTTTCTGAATTCATACATTCACAGATATCTCAGATTCTTATTTTTATAAGGATAATGATACTTTATCAGAAAGAAAAAAATAATTTTTTTGGCAAACAGGATTAACTTTTTGATGTGGTGACGCCATGACTTGCAATATCATCTGTTGAGGAAAAAACTGCATTGACAATTTCATCTTATACATTTAATGAACGAATAAAAATTCAATGCAATTAATGCTGGACAGAAGAGAAACTTGATGACAAACTCATAATCATTTCCTGAACTGCAGTTGTATTTTGTTTAGAAATTAATAAAAATCAAAATCAATTGAGTTATTTTGCCTTTGCAGAATAAGTAGTTTCTGAGTGTTTTTCCACTGTGAAAGCTGTCCAGGAATCTAAAAAAAAGTACACCGCACAATGGATCTCCCACAAAACAGATTTTTGCACAACAAAACACTTCNATTTTTTCCTTTATTTTTGAAATTTTATGGTTTCAGATTCACTAAAAATTGGGGCGAGCGTCTTACTGGGGAATAAGATTTTTGCAAAATTTTCAACTGAAAAACCCCTGTGCGTGCCTTACTCAATGGTACTTGAGTAAATACAGCACTATGAAAAATAACACAGAGGCAACCATTGGAATGAATGCCATGTCAACTGCAAGAATTCTCAAGGGAAAGCAAGTGTTTTCAAAAACACTAAAAAAAAAAAAATTTACCTGCAAGATAGGCGCCTCATATTTTGAGTGAGCAACAGAAAAAGCTGCCATAGCTGGATGACTTTTTCAACAACAAAAAAAGGTTTAAAAATATGTCAGACAAGGCTGCATTTTTTCTCTTCCTCCAAAGACTGTTTTTTTCCCTAAACAATATTTTCTGCTCAGCTGAATCATACGTCGTTTCAATTTCTATACCGAAAACTTTTTGTCAGACCCCTCGCATATTTAGCACACACAAAAAAAAAAGAGTGCCGAAAAAATGCGACGATGAGAGAAAGATCGGACCATAATGATCTTTTTTGACACTCGAATCAAAGCAAAATGGAAACCGGGCTGTTGGTGCCGACGACGACAGCATGAGTAGTCGTCGTCGTCAACCGCGTCGTCCTCAGCTCCACCATGTCAATGGCCGCCGCCTCGGGGCGCCGCTGCTGCTGATATCCGCCGCCGTCGTCGTCGGCCTCCGACTCCTCACTCCGCCGCCTCACGACATCCAGGGACTCGTCTTCTTCCACCTCCAGGTCCGATTCCCGTCTCAACCTGGCCCTCTTGAACCGCCCCAGGCCCAGACCCAGGGCCTGCTTGCTACTGATGCTGCTGCTCTGATGCTCTTCCTGCTGCTGATGCTGCAGCACAGCACATTCGTGCAAGCTGCTGTCGGCGTCTGCTGCTGGGGCAGAAACTGCCACCTGATGGGCCACATTCCGGGCCAGCTGTTGTTGTTGTTGTTGTTGTTGTTGCTGCTGCTGCTGATGATGATTCCGGTGTTGTTGTCTGAGGAAGTCGCAGCACTCGCAGGCCTTGAAGAAGCTCTTGCGGAAGTTGTCAGACAAGAATGCGTACAAGATGGGGTTGATGGCGGAGTTGCAGTACATGGGGATGGATGCGACGATGTTGTAGTTGACTAGGGTCATGTGGGTCACTGGGACAGGGAACAGGTCCAGGAGGCGGACCAGGAGCAGGACCTGTCCGAACCAGTAAGGGAGCCAGCACAGCATGTAGGCGATGATGACTGTGAGCACCAGGCGGGTCACCTTCTTCCGGGTCTTCTTCCTCCTGGACTTGGTGTTTCTCAGAGTTAAAATCACCTGCATTGGAAAATGAAAGCAATACTTTTTTGTCCAAATTCTGGTTCAATTGCAGATATTTTTTCACTAAATGGCTTTTTTTTTACAATAAAAACATCATTTCAGTTTGACTTTTGCCAAACTGAAATGTGCTGACCCAAAAAAAAAAAAATCCTGACTCTGCCACCTGATGGGAAGGAACCCCTACCATCAAAGAGTTAAGGGGATACTATAATTACACATCCCTAATTTTGCCTGGTTTATTTATAAGCATCAAGGATCACAATCCACATGAAGCACAATTCAATACAAATAATACATAAAAACAAACACATTAGTGCAAAATGCAACAAATAAAGGCAAGGACAAATTTGTGTACATTAATCAAGGAATAAATATAAGTATTAGTATCAAGATAAACTGTTGGCTTTATATGATTTCTCATTCTGTAATTTGTTCATTCAACTAAACCTCATACAGAAACAAGCTGAAGACCTTGTGCTGTAAACTAATTTTTACATATCTTTTGTTACCAATGTCAGGGAATGAGTGGGTGTTTGCATACATGTCAGATGTCCAGTTGTATTTCATGTTATATTGTATTTTCTTTTATTTTTGCTAGCAATTTGTGCTTTCCTGCTCTGAAGTGATTAAAATGTCTTTGAGTGGATTTGGGTTGGGTGGGAAGGGGGGTTTGGTTGTGGAAATCTTGAGTGAACCTTGTGAACGCTGAAAAGCAGCAAATAAAGTGTTCTGTTCATTCATTCATTCATTCATTCAAGTGTTACTCTGAACAAGAAAATGATGGAATTTTCTATGGATTGAGTTTCAGGGATGCTTTTGTTAGGGAACAATTTAGAGAATGGATCAGTTGCTGGGAAATGGGAAAAATAAGCTTTTATATGTTTCAACAGATACTTTTGTCACTTGACCTGACAAAAGCATACAAATTCCTTTCTGATTTCTGATTGGTTGGAGGAATAATTTCCAAAAAGTTGTACATCCACTGGAAGCAAATCCAAAGAGGAAAGCCAAACACAGAACTCAGGTCCTGAGACCTCATGTCCTTTTTCCCCCAATAGTGTCTGGAATATGTCATAGCCAATATTAGTTTGTTCAAGCTCCAATAATTTAAAAACGGTTGATGTTGTGTGGAATTCCGTTATACTGAGGTGGCATATTGCTAATGCTTTCTCTGATGCTGGGTCATTCCAGGAAATCATGCAGAAAAAGAAAAAAAAAGGGGGTCTTATTCCGCCTCTTTTATGAAGTTCCTTGAACTTTGAGCAGCCCAGAGAACTTTTCCCAGGGGCTTCAGGGATGGGTAATTAGCCTGAAAAGATAGAGGTCTCCTCTCGTAACCCCTCTCGTCAGCACGTGCCATCAGTTTGTCATCTTTGTCCCCCCCCCCCCCCCTGTCTTGTGTTTGGCAAAGTTTTACCTCAACGAACGATGAGCAGCGAAACTTCCTGCCCTAGGCGACTCAAGAAGTTTTCGAAGGTAGAACTTTTAGAATTTGCCTGTTAATTACCACTGGTTATCTGTGGAAGGTCAAGTTTTTTTTGCCACGTTTTCCAAATCCAATTTGGGACAGGAGAGAAAAAAAGGTAATATATACGATTTTGGTTAATATTCTGATTCCCATAATACACGCAAGAGGAGACCAAGAGTGACAAAAATTCTGATGATTTCTTGATTCATTTTTCTGCTGTAAATGTTGCACGAATTTTTAAATTACTTTTGCATAAGTTTTTCAACTTCAAGATGAGGTATGCAACTGTACAGAAAAATATATTAATGAAATTTATTTCTAATTGTTGTGATCAATACAACATTTGTATTTGTTCCAGAGATAAAAATATTAAAAAAAAAGATTTTTAAATCTTCTAGAAATGTTGGAAAAGGGTCCATATCTCAAGACATTATTGTCAATGTTTGGGGCACAATTGTTAAATTTCAATTTTCTCAAAGTCAAGTCGTCCATATTTCGGGGTCCCAAATTATTCATTTCTCCATCTGCCATCTGGTGATTGCATCGATAAATTAAAGAATAAGGTTAAATCATTCAGAAAAACATAAAAAAATAAATAGAAGAGTTTGGGTCTAAAATATCATGCTGCTCCCCGTGCTCTTTTTGTCAAATGCTCTTATTTTGGTGATGCTTGGTCTTCTGATGTCTCATGCTCTTCAACCCTTGTGCAGCAAAGTCAGGATATCTTTGCAAAAGTTTGTGCCACTGAGCACTGGATATTAAAAAATTATACTTCTGTACCAAGGCCCAATTTGGGAAAAAGTCCAAAATTTGTTTTCTAATCTTGCAGAAATTTTGAATGAAAAATAAAAATCCGTCAGGGTGTGGTATATATTTTCCTGCATTTCTGGCATAGGATCAGCATAGAAGATTCCAGAAAGCAATAGAAAACTTGCCTCCTGCATTTTTCCCAACTTGGGCCATCTCAACCTGGTTACCTTGGGTCAAACTGAAGCTTGCTACCCGCCCTTGAAAATACCCCAACTCCACAGGCCAATGGAAAATAACCCTCCACAGTCCCAGGGTTTTATTCCTTTCTAATAATGCGCTATATACTAACCTGGGAGTAGAAGATGATGATGAGCACCAGAGGAATGACAAAACTCGCGGAGAAGTTATAAAGGGTGAAGATCATGGGGTAAGTGTTTCCTTGGTCGTCGTCGGGCAGGAACACGCTGCAAGTGGTCGTGCCGGTTTCATTGTTGGTCACTCTGGTGGACGAGTACATAAACAGGGGTGCCATGAGGACGGCAGACACCATCCAGGTGGTGAATGCGACCACTCGGGATACCACGGGCGTCCTGATGGACCGACCTTTCACGGCGTGACAAATGGCAACGTACCTGTGTATGTGTAAAAAGGGATTTTATTACGATAGAATTTTTTTTAACAAAAACGGAAAAATTTGAAAAAATGTATTCAAACATTCTAAAAGATGAAGTCACATTATTGGTTTTCTTGACAAGAAAGAAAATAGAATTACCAATATACAGAGATTCATTGAATTTCCATTACAACTGGATTATGAACAACAATCACATAATTTGGAACATTTTGTGCATAAATTGAACAAGATGAAGTCAAATTTTTAGTTTTCTTTACAAGAGTAAATAGAAAAAATTATTTACAGAGGTTCATTCTATTTTCATTAAAACAGAATCTTAACCAACAGCAAAAGAAGTTTGAAACTTGCAAGCAAAAATTTAGCCAATTTTAATATCCCAGAATTCTTGTTTCTTTCCCACAACAAAACTTTTTACATGACACTAATTTATGAGCTGGTACCTCCAAGTTCTATTTAAAGAGGTTAGAATGGTCTTGAGGGTTTCCCCAACCAAAGAGATTTTATGAGTAAAAAACCACTTTATAGAGGCTCCAAAAAATTGATATTTATTAATGTCCAAGAAGGAATGAAAAACTCAGCATCTTCTTCCAGATAAATAAACACACACAATAATTCATAAAATTTCTAAGAGAATTTTGGGGCACAGCATGGGGCAACGCGGCATTACCCAAGTGTGGCATCCTTGCTTGGGCACACCAGCAATGCAATGGAATTCTGCAAAGATCTACAAGATCTGGATCACACAACCAGTTTGCCGCAATGTGGTAAACCAGGTGACATGATAGCAATCAATCACCACCAAAGGATTTGGGAGGCTTGCAAAGCATTACTTGAGTGTGAGCTGTGTTGGGAGGTGTTGCTGGGCAACTGATTGTCTGATGTGAGCTGGATTGTATCTTGATTGAGTTGGTTATTCTGCTACTCGGAATTGTTGGCTGTTGTTCTGTTCTTTTGGTTGGTGTGCAAATTATATTGCTAAGGGACTCCAATAAAGAGGATCCGGCCTCCTAAAGGCTGAGTGGCTGTTTTCCCTTTATTTCAAATTCTTTGTCATTCTCCAGCCCAACAAGAATATTGGTTGCATATTTAGTGGTAGAAGTTAAGAATGGGAATGAGATTCTGCTGGAGAATGTGGTATTGATTTCTGTGTTTGAAGGCTTTATGCATGTCAAACTTGTTTGTGATGAAGGTTGGGATTCTTTGCTGCTTTCTGATTGGCTATTTACATCAAAGATGATGTGCAGCATTGTTGTAAAAGTTTTGAAGGTTGTTGGGGACAAGTTCTTGGTGCTAGACTCTCTGTAAGTCCCAGGACTGATTTCACAGATGCAGGGTGGATTATTATACTTTACATTCAACCACTTCACAACAGGCCTCCCTCACAATAGACTTTTGCTGAACAGACTGCCCCTGGATGTAGTTTTCCCTTCTGTGCAATGGACTAATTATGCATATAAGAGACTTCTGTTGGCTTAAAATCTGTGAACAGTAAATATTTTAATTTTTTTAATATTTGAATTTGCATAACAGACTTTTCATTCACAACTACAGTCAACCCCCAGTTAACATTTTAGTTGGTTCCGTGCAAAAAAACGTTAACTGGAAAAAACGTTAACCGGGGTGTATTTCCCTTAAGAAATAAGGGATAAACGTTTACTTGGTTCCACAAAACATTTTCTTAAGGTAAAAATCAGAAAAAAATTAATCAAAGAGTGTATTTCAACAACTGAGCTTTATGCACTGCCATTACATTCTTAAAGTAACCACAGTTACCAAGTGACTCTCATGAGTGACTTTTTGTGTCATTAAAATGAATCTCTGATTTTCATTGAGTGAAGAACTGTGGTTACTTTTTGAATGTAATGGCAGTGCATAAAGCTCAGTTGTTGAAATACACTCTTTGATTAATTTTTTTCTGATTTTTGCCTTAAGAAAATTTTTTCTGGCACCAATTAAATGTTTCTCCCTTATTTCCTAAGGGAAAGACTCCCTCGGTTAACGTTTTTTTTTCAGCTAACGTTTTTTCCCCCTGCACCAACTAAAAACGTTAACTGAGTTTGGGAACGTTAACTGAGGGAATTTTTTGGGAAGGATCGGGAACGTTAACTGAACGGAACGTTAACCGGGGGTTGACTGTATTCAAGTTAATTTTGTAGTGGTTGCCTGTATTTAATGATTACCGTCATCATGTGATACAGCCCCCAAGAATTGCATTTACTTGAATTTACGCAATAACCCTCAGGTGAAATCAAATAAAAAAAAAGCAAACGCATACATTCATGCAATAACTGACCTGTCAGCACTCATGACCGTGAGGAAGGCGCTGCTGGTGAACTGGTTAATGCCCGTGGTTGTCATGAAAACCTTGCACGTGATGAACCCAAAGGGCCAGTGCCTCAAGTAGCTCGTGACGAAGAGGAACGGAAGTCCGATGAGGAAACACTCATCGGCCACTGCCAAGTTGAGGATGTACAAGTTGGTCACTGTTTGCATTTTCGAGTAGCGAAGGACGACGTAGATGACGAGGGAATTGCCGCAGAGTCCCACGACGCAAATGAGCAGGAAGAAGACCTCGGACACGCTCGACAACATCCGGTGTGTGGCCATGTCGAAGGGCTCCATCAGGTCGTCGTCATCATCGTCAGTGTCGGTGGTGCCAGTGTTGCTGCTGCTGCTGTCGACGACGAGGTCGTCGAGCAGTGATGGCGATGATGATGAGATGTTAAAGCCATTGAGAGCAGCTGAAGCTAATGATGACAATGCTGAGCTGCTGCTGGTGAAGTTGCTGGTTGATCCAAAGACCCATAATTGATCCATGCTGGCCTAGCTTATAACAAATGCAAAATGGAATTCACATGTTCACTTATTTTTCATGTAACACTAAGATTATGACAGCAGTGTGAAGAAAAAGATTTGATAGAGACTTTTCTTTTACCACACAAAAGGTGAAAAAAATGAGGAGATGAACATATACCAAATTTGTAACTGTTTTTAGGTAATTGAGAAAAATGAAACACGGTTTGAACAGCCAGGCTGCAGCCGGGACTTTTTGTCCTAGTTTAAAGTGGTGTATTATTCAAAGACAAGTTTGATTTGAACAATTGAAAGATTTTCACAAGTATGTAAGAACAAGAATACCAATTTCAAAATTGGTCAGAAATTGACACACATGAGAGTTCTCCAGAGATCTGTACAATTTGAGAGTTTGATGCAGAGTGACATATTTGTGGTTTGTTAACCTAGATACTCTATACTTGTTGCAGGTTCTCTATATACAGAAATTACCCATTTTATTTCCTTCCAGGAACAAGTGGTGATTTTCTCCCCCTGCAGCTGTTCCTTGTTTTTCTCCTATGCAAAACAACGTCCGCATTAATGCGTGACGCTTTCCTTAATTTCCTGACTTTATATTTATTGTTGATGTGAATATCGAAAAATTTATATTAAATATTTTATAGAAATCTGAAGTATTTTATTTTTGGGATAACAGGTTTTTGGTTGACCACTACAACTTTTGGGATTTGAAGATGAAGGCTGGATTTGGCCACTTTCATTTCTTCCTCACAGGAAATTTAGGGATCTGTCCTTGGGCGAGCCTGGGAACCAAACCTGGGTTTGGTTCTCAGGCTTGCAAAAAGGTGCGTTTTTAGGATTAATACTAATTTCTTTGGCGCCTGCCTGAGGCAACTATTCTAAAAAACCGAAATTAGTGATTTTTTCCCGACAAGCAGCATTCAATCCATCCCCTGGTAAATTCTCAATTCATTTTTGGCGCATATAGTGGCATTACAAACTTTCAAATTCGGTCAATAACATGGTGGCTGGGCCAGCATCAAGAAGGCCAAATTTGGGAAAATCCAGGAAGGGGTGAATAATTTTGTTTACAGAAATCCCCAATGCTAGGAAGAATAAAAACACCACCCAGCAAGGGACGTGCTTTTAATTTTTCAGCAAAAAATTGTTTGGCAGCACAGAAAAATATGTTTTCAACTTTTTTCCAACTTACGCTTTTATTACCAGTTGATGCTTTGAAATTTTGCAAAAATATCCTGACTTTGATGCTGAAGGCACTGCCGAGTAAATCAATAACACGCGTTTCTTTGATGCCACTGATGATGTCAAAACTTCAGAACGAGCTAAATAAGCAAATCCGCGATATCACACGTCTGATGCATTAATCTTCAGAAATTTCCATCGAAGCTCTTCAGGCAAATGAATAAATCTCAGAATCGAGATGACATGCTGATAATATCTGCGTAGGTGTTTCTCATCGCACATATTGATTTTGCCATATTCATTTGCATAATGTGCAGCTTTTAAGGCATTACGACATTTCGAATCAACATGTGGGGGGACAAGAAAAGTCACTTCCGCGTGCTGAATAAATTTTCGCTTCCCAAAACACTTCCCCACGCAGAAAACTTTGCAAGCAATGAGCATCGGTAAACTTGGCACTTTGAAATGGCAATGTATGCAGTACTTGAAAGTGGGCAATATTCTCGCAAAATGTGAGTGCGGGGTATTTGCTGATGGAATTTAAAAACATAAATGAAAAACTTATTAATCCTGAGAAAACATCAACATCAATTTTATCGCCTCGATTCATGCGGAAAAAAAATGAACATGTCAAAAGAGAGGCTCTGACACGAGATTGACAGGGCTCCATGTGGAAAAGCAAAAAAGTGCACTCTAGTGTGAATTGCGCCATAAAAAAGCACATATAATATTGCGAAAAAAAAGAAACAGGAAACATAAAACAAGGCAGGAAGTTGATGCCCTTGATGCTGGTGTTGAGCATGTGTGTGATCAATACATGCCAGTCAATTGCTTTTATCCAACAGCTGCATGTTTTGAGCAATATTTTCCAGGCTTTCTAGCTTCAGCCTGTCATTTTTTTTACCACCAGTCTTCCTTCAAGGGTTATTCCTTGGCACGGGCTGCTTGTGATGTTTGTGAGCTTATAATTCCTCACAAAATGAAATAAAAACACAGGCAATCTGCCTTTTGAGGCAAAGCACTCACGTTCAAGGGGTCACTTTGAATATACAGTATTACTCTTTGAATAATGTTTTATTCAATATTTTCAGTGAAGAAAGTCAAGAATTCAGTGATTCCAGCAAAAGAGTGAACCAAACACACACAATAAATAAATACACTTGATTTATTGATCAAACCAATTCATATCACAGATTTGTGCACAAATCAATAGTAAGAAGAAAGGCAATGATTATCCTCCTAGAGTTCAGGACAGACTGCTTATAAATTCTAAATATGAATGAGCTTTCATTATTTTCTTGGGATTGTCTGCTGGTCAGGTGATCTAACCAGAAAATTCCAGAATATTTTATTAGATTTCCTTCCCTCTGATTGACTGAAATAATAAAAAATGAAGGAAATTCAGTATGCATTATTGTCAGCTGATGCACAATAAAAAAACACCTTGATCAAATTCATCTTCTCAAGAAGGCTCACCTCTAAAAAAAAAAAGATAGGAAAAAGAAATTCTTGCTGCAAAGATTTTTTTTGCTGAAGAGTACTTTCTGTTGATGATGGATGAGAGAATCCTTGAAAACGCCTTCCTTTTTTTTTTTTGCGCATTATGAGGGTACAAAGAGAAGAGACTGACACCTTGCAGACTCTGAGAGCAAGGATGCAGGAGATCTGCAGCAGCTTTTCACCACCAGGTGTCATATTCCATCAAAAGCCCACAGCCATCATCATCAGCATCAGGAATAAGCGGTGGAAGCAGAGCAATTTTTCTTCTTATTCTTCCTCATCTTGGGATATATTATACGCTGTAATGAGATTTCCCACAAAATATGGTCCTGTTTTTGTTACAATTTTCTCGTGGGCAAAGTTTAATCCAAACACCATTTTCTACACCATGTGTCAGCTTTGAGCAAATGCTCATCATGTTTCTAGGAGCATCAAAGACTTCTTGTATGAGGAGAAAAACACCTTTTCGGAATTAGTTTTTAATGAAAATGAAGGATTAATTTCACGTTTTTCATTCCGTTTGAAATTTTCTGATATTTTTTTTTTCAAAATAAAAATTTGAAATTCTGGAGTTATATACAATAAAAAAAGAAAAAATGCAACTAGAAATAAAGTTACTACTATAATTCCGAAACTGATTATTTCAGGCGATTTTTTTTTTCAAAATAATTGATAGCTTGGATGAAAATAGGTGGTTACACTTATGATAAAGCTACAAAAATAAATTATAAACTCCGATTTTCTGATAATTCTGACTCATTTCTTACTGCATTACAATAAAATACAAAATCTCGACCCTAAATCGTGAAAAGCCGTTGGAGATGATGATTTTTGCGATTACATGAGCTGAACAAGAACTGTTTTCTACGAAAGGATTAATGTACCTTTTGCCCAGTGTTTTTATTCATATTTTTAAATCTTTTTCACGTTAGAAGGTTTTAAAGCATGGAAATTTTCCAAATACTGGAGTTACACTCTCTAATAAAAATAAAATGCGCAATCAGAAAGTTCCTTACATCTCATGGAACATTTGTTTCCCCTGACTTTTTTCATTGATCGTTTCTATAGCCTTGGTTGAACAAAATACTGGAAAAATGTCAGGATATAACAATGATTTACGTGCTTTGACTTCTTCGATTCATTTCTGGCTGGCAATAAAACACGAAATCGCGACGTTGAATCGCCCAACCTTGGAAATATTGTGATGGTTTTTTGCAATTGAAAGAGCTGAACAAGAACTGGGCTCTACAAAAGAGTGCTTTTTTGCTTATCAAATGCGGTTGTAAATGTTTGCGATATTCCGATATGAACTGTAAAGGCTAGACTGTAGTTCATTGAGTGTCAAAAGTAAAGTCGTACGAGGATTTCGAATTATTTTTTGCACGTTTTTTCAGCTTTTCGAAATGTCTTTCATTTTTATATCCAAATTGTGGGACAAGGATCAAATTGCAAGTCAACTGACCTGCAAATTTGACCATCAAATTTTTGCACAGTTGAATTATGGGAGGTTGAATTGCAAGGTAACACCCATATATAGAAGCTATTAATTGCATGTACAGTATTTTCATGAGTTGACCACAATCTCTTCATATCAATATGAAATGCACCTTCTAAAAAGTTAAATTATCTCTGCTTCATGAAAAAATCATGAAAAACTTTTTGAAAAATTCAATAAATGGGAATCAATTTCTGTCCCCATGATAAACACTTTACTTCCCTCATCACTATACAGTATGAAAAGATGCGTATTCAACTAAGACCTGCAAGTATCAAATGGACAAAAGAAAAAATTTTGTACACCATATCAAATAGGCGAACAACTTTTCATTCAATTTTTATGCAAAAAGTGAAACATCAATTCATAACATAAATATTAAATGGCCGGAATATTTCTGAACTTTTTCATTTTTTTCTTTGAAACCCATCTATTACCATATACAGTAATTTAAAATTTGTTATTTGAACATATTTTCAGTTGACAAAAATCTTTTTGTTTCAATATGCAATTCGAATGCGCTAATGTGACTGTGTTCCTCTCATCATAAAGCCCTTAAAAAAAAGAAAAAAAAAAAAGAATCAATTTCTGTCCCCCTGCAGTAGGAACACTTTACTTTCATCATCACTATGCACGAACAGACGCATATTCAACTAAGCAGATTATGTGGGTGGAATACACAAGCAAACTGGATAAGGATTCTGGTAATCCTGGGGAAAGGCCTGGTTCCATCATTACCACCACCATATGTCAGGATATAACAATGATTTACGTGCTTTGACTTCTTCGATTCATTTCTGGCTGGCAATAAAACACGAAATCGCGA